ACCGCTCCGCGTCGCGCCGCGCCGTGTCGCACGGCGTCGGGAGCCGCTAATCCCGACCGTGTGGCGCGTCGTGGAGGAGCCACCCTTCGTCCCCCGCGCATTCCGCCGCCGCTGCCGTTGTCTCCGCTTCTGCCGACTGCACTGCAGATGATCGCTGGAGACGTCCTACGCGTATGATTCTTGTCATTTAAGATTGTTCCAGAGAGGCAGATTCCCTGAACACATTGAAGGAGAAGGAATGATTCGTTTTGCGTCAACATCATTTTTGAAATGAGATACAATTTTCTAGTTAGGCGTGTAACTTTTTACTAACTATTCACTTCCAGTATTAGTGCTCGAAGATTTCTAAATCTGTGAAAATGAATAAAGGAGAGAGAAAGAGGGAGAGAGAGAGAGGGGGGTAGACAGAGAGGGTGAGGAGAAACCAGCGTGAGGAAGACCGAAAGGGGTCAGGGAAGGAGGGAAATGGTGGAGGACGGAGAATCAGAGCGCGGGAAGGAGAGTGAGGCTGATGGAGGAACAGAGGGAGTGTGGGAAGAATGGGGATGGTGAGGGAGATAGGAATCAGAAAGGAGCGATAAGGAGAGGGCAGGGCAATAGACACCGCTTGGAAGAGACGCAGACCATGATAGAGAGAAATGATTGGTATTGGGATGAAGGTGGAAAAAAGTAGATTATATGCTTTTAAGCTGTGAGGGATCGACGACACAAATTTAGTTGTAAACACTATGAAAACAAGTAAAATGACAAAATGGTTTCTTGCAGAGATGCTCTTTCCTTTCACAAGAGTGTATAATAAAAACATTTTACCTAGCAATTGTAAAAATAATTAAGATATGATCTGCATTACTAATTTTCGATGCGTTCATAAATTGAAAGAAAACTATTCTGCATCTCGCCATCTGAAAGGAGTCTGGTTCATTCCGATACTCAGGAACTCTGAAAATATAAAAAATATTGAAAGGTTTCGATCTTGGCTGGAAATTACACATATTTGATTGTGTCATTCCGTCTATTATATCAAACTGTGCCTTCCGACTAAAGGTTAGACTCAAAGGTTTGTACTTACGCCATTTTTTATTGGTCATTCAAGTGTTGCAGTTTGGAACATTTTTATATTCTTGGCGTGTAAAGAACTGTTTTACTGTATATTCGTGTATACCATAAGAATATATTATTGCACTATTCACGAAAACAGTTTTTATTAAAATATTTGATTTATTGTAGTATTATGCGAGGATATTTATTTGTTGTTATTGAGCAATGTGTGTGCTACGTTTTGGTTTTGACCATCAGCTTTCTAGCTGTTCCAGGCCAGTAGTTTATAATTTCCAGTGCGCGCAGATATCGAAAGAAAACTAAGCACAATGGCCATGCGATAGATGTCTGTTTTCATTACCAAATCTAAAAATAGCATAATAATAATAATAATAATAATAATAATAATAATAATAATAAAACAATTAAATAAATTTTTCGATTTCGACTGGAACAATGTAAATATTTAATTCTGTTTTTGCGTTGATTCATGTTCTTTATGAACCGACTGAATTCTTATTATCAGTGTGTCACTGCTGCACGACACAAATGACGTCACGAAGCAGCAAGGCTTTGCCATTAAATATTTGTTACGTGTTGCGTTATGGAACAGCTACTTCTTTGAATTCCTGATAGGTAAAGAACTGTTGTACTACAGAAATATACTTATCTAAGTTATTGCAGTATTCGTGAAAACTGTAATTTGTTGCCCTTGAGTAACTTGCGTGCTTCTCTTTGAAAAGGTGTTTTGTGTTTTGTTCAGCAGCCTTTTGGCTGCTGCCGCAACTAGTCAATAATAATTCGGTTGATTTTAAGTTAGTATTTCATTACTGTAAAGAAAGGCTGCTAATAACAACCCGTTAAATGGAACCTCCACAGAAATTTCGTTATATTTACGTGTATCTTTTATGCCGTTTCGTCATTTATAATACAATAATACTGCGCATTAGGTTTTGTTCGACTGACCTTTCCACAACACCGTAAACACGCCCATGGCTGTTCGGAGCAAGACATTGTACACGTTTTTGGATTAAGGTAAAAAATCTGATTATTACACAAAAACACTCCAATTAAGAGAGTGAACATTGATTATAAACTGAGTTGAGTATATCGTCGTTAAATATATATAAGTTCATGTTTTGGAGAAAAAATATGAACTATGCTGATCATAAAAGCTTTTTTCCTTTTGTCACCTGAGTGTGACCGTGAGCTGCCATCCTTGAGTCGACGCTTTCGCTTACTTCAGCAATGTTTAAGACTGGGGTTTTGCGACCTCCAAGGGTAAGGCTCCAGGTTGTAGGGGGTTCCTCCTTTCCAATTACGTTTATTGAACACTCAAAATTATCAAAATATGAAGCTCATCCTAACATTTCCCATAAATCATTTATCCTATCGTCATATTAGGATTTGTTGCAGATTGTTTCATCTGTCCAGCCAATTTTCCGCAACTTTCGAAATCATTTCGCATTAAATTTGGCGATGATAAAATATTTGTGTCCTAAATAATGAGCGAAAGAAGGAAGACGCAATTGGCTTTGTCGATAAAGTTTCTTCGACAGATCGACAGTTCTTATCATGATTTAACTACTGTTGAAAAGCGAAAAGTGCGCGTTTAGCTATCGTGCGGGAGAGAATTCATGGAGGACGTCCTCGAACAACTGGACCAAGACATTTTTATAAATTACTCTTCCCCTCCATTTTCCATTTCGCAAAATGTCACTTTTAAACGTTTTTAACAATAACAATACATTTGAATAAAGAAATATATTTCAAACACGAACTAATTATTTTAAAACATTATTATTGAATGGGTGAAAACCAGAACGGTATAAGTGACATTTTATAAATTCTGAGAAAAACGTGTTTATTTTAGGCTATATTTCAGTAGTAATGTATTTTAATGGTTTTAAATAACAATAGAAATGCCGTAGTTTTAATGATGAAACAAAGCACAACGACTTTACAGTGAAATTTACTTAAATAAACATATTTATCAGAATTTATAAAATGTCACTTATACCGTACTGGTTTTCACCCATTCATTTGTTCAATTAAATTAGGTACTGTCCAGTGTCATTACATTTATCATAATGAGCTCTTTAAGACACTACACTGAGTTTCAAAGGTGCAAACAGCCTTTGTAATTCAGTTTAGTACAGAAGAACTTACTTCAATATGAATAGTGAGTACGGTGTTATTTGAAAAAATCTCTCTTTAATGTAAATGTCTTGAGATTTTGCTGCAGTAAATCTAGAATATAATTCCCTTCGTCCTCCACATTGAATCATAAAAGAAATTGGAGCGGCTGAAGCAAGATAGAAACTTTTTTCATATTATTACTTATGTTCAAGGATATGCTACCAAAAATGATTTTTCAGATATAACGTCATCCATAAGCAATAAAAAATATAAACCAACAGGCTCACTATAAAATATAAACTGTTGGAATGACATCTGGAGGTGCAATTCGGTAAGAATATTTTTCATTTTGCACATGCTAAAGTAATATTGTTTCAGAGATATTGCATTAGCATTCTTTAATTTTTTTATAGTTTTGGTAGTGTGCAATTCGGTTTCGCAGTATGAGGGAAGTTTAGAAGGGGTGTCTCTCGCACTTTTGAAGAGGGAGTCGGGCACACGCTCGGGCAATCGCACGCTTCGGAGCTCGAGATCTACAGAGGCAGAAAGATTAAATATTTCTGACTGAGTCGCGCACTTGGGATGTACAGCATTAGTGATTAGGGAAAACTACAAAAGCTGAAATGTAATGGGATGTAATTAGATTCAACTAAATTCATTCCGAATCAATAAAATAAAAATACATATTTATATTGCGAAGAAAATAAAATTTCGATGGACAAGGGAAGGCAGCCTGCAGTGCTGAGTCCGAGCTTCCTCTTTTCGCAACAGAGGAAAGGGAGACTGCGCGCGTATGTGCGATATCTGGGACAGTGGATCTGATCATCGATTCACTCGCTACTAGGAACTGCAAGCAGAGCGTAAAGAACAGTAATCAAGAACTATATCTCCAGCTCTCTAAACCACGTCTCAGCATCTGCGCTTGCGCCACTCAAACTGCCAATGCGCAGAAGGTCGAGAATCCTGTCGATTGCAATACAATAAGCCGTGCTTAAAGTCGGATTAAACGCTATATACCTAAACAACTATAATATATATTAGAGTAACTGAATTCGGATCCTTCGTGGGAAGTGGCAACCAGTGGTGGCAACCAATATAGCAACAAGCCCAAAAGTTCACCTGATGGCCCCTTCAATTCCTCCCTATAATCGTTCCGCAGTCCCCCACAGGACCGCAGGCACCAGTTTGAGAATCTATTTATGATATGAAATGAAATTTGAATGAAATTTGAATTTACATACAGAAATCAAATTGTGTTATAGTATCCACTATATTGAATTATTAATAAGGGATTTTGATTTCAGTCATTTTTGACCTTTACTTATAAAAAAATTTTTGCCATGTTGCATTAAGACTGCAAGCAGTCAAAAATTGGTTCAATCAAAAAATAAACAGAAGGTGCATTTATGATCCGTTTTCTAAACAATGATCATCATTCTATCAACGCAGTTAGGCTCCATCATAGTCGCCTACCCAACACAGAATAGGAAAAGTGGAGTCCGAATTTTGATTTCTTCAAAACAACATGTTGCTGCCATTCATCTTGGTAATTAAATAGTAAAAATGTATGGCTCTATTTCATGTGGTTAGGCCAACTTCATTTCAAGTAGACGTAATCTTGATTTTTGGAATAAGCTGAATAGTAAAGAGAACGGTTTTGCGGTAATTAATTAGTAACTAATTAAACAGTCAATAATTGTGCAACAACTTTTGTTTCTCTCTTAATTGCATTTTCTTTCTGACCTTATAATGTGTGGTGCTCTGTTTTGCTGTCTAGGCTAGCTTGATGGGCCATTGGTATGCACTCTGGAGCTTCGAACGCTTCAGCTTGATGTGGCCGTTGTGGCAGGCGCCGTGGCCGCCGTCTCTACCACCGTCGGAGGCCATTCTCCGCCGCCGTCGTGTTCGCCGTCTCCGCCGCGGCGCCGCCGCCTCCGGCTGAGTCGTCCTCCCGGCGCGGGGCGGCGCGGTGCCCCCAGGGGCCCAGAGGGGCCCAGAGGGCACTTTCCGTGCGCTCGCGTCTCTATTTCGGGCCGCAGGCGGTGACGTCTTCGGGCCGCGGCCTCGGCTTCCGGGTCGGGTCCCGAACCCGCGACCTCGCCAGCTGCGTGGGGCGCCCACGTGGGGCGCGCGCGCGGAACTAAGGCGCGTTTAAAGGACATTTATAAAGATTTACAGGCGAACGCAGGGGCCTCGGCCGTCGGACAAATGAGGATGCTGTCGCAGATGTCTCTGGAGACACTGGGGGCCTCGGAGGAGTCGTGGCGCCGAGGCGGGAAATGGAGCTGAAATGCTCGCAAAGCATAAAAACGAGCTTTTATCAGAAACTGCGCCTTCGGCAACATGCAGATTGTCCTAAATAATTTCATTGAATGGGCCACAAATGGAAAATAAAGATAAACGCATCTAAAACTCAAACCAAAATTATCACTCTGTACAAATTTCATCAACCACTCCTCCTCTGCTTTCAAAACGCAAATCTAGAATGGATGAACAGAAATACACCATCAAAATACTTATGAGTACTACTTGATACTAAACTAAACTGGAAGCATCATATCAAATCTATAGCAGATATAACTTTTGCAAAAATATATAAATATCCAATAATAAATATAAATTTCGCACTTAGCACAGACTGCGGCTTAATCGTCTATAAAACAATAATAAGACCAACCCTCACAAATGCCTGCCCGATCTGGAATAATGCCGCACGAACCAACCTAAATAAAATGGAAGTAATACAAAATAAATTTCTCAGAAAGGTCATTAAAGCCCCTTGGTTCATAGGCAAAAAGCAAATCCAAAACGAATTAAATATATAATCTATAAACAACTATATAGATCTTATGACTCATAAATTCTTCTCATTCCTTTCCCAATCGCGCTGTTCAACAATATTCCAACTGTGTAAAACGTATAGTTCATCAAAGAGTATTAGATGTTCGTCCACCTTGAATCATTTACACATCTTCCCTTTTCATAAAATTCCACCCATTAACACCCCCTTAAAAAGTATCACAAATAACTCCAAAAACTCTCTTCCACAGTTTCTTTCACTGGCTAATTAAAATGTATCATCAGAACACTGAGAAAGGAGGTAACGCATGCGGATGCCCACGGATCGTTACTAACACATGTAATATTACTACAATACATGCATAGTTACTATTTATCACCACACCGTGACTTTTAAAATCCATTTGTACCTTCTATACCTCATTTGTATCAGATATTTAAGACAATTTATGTGAAAATGTTTTATTGCACAAGGCTAAAATATTACGCGATACTCCTTCCAACCTTTCCAGGACAACACATCACCGTAGTCCCCCCCCCCACACACACACACACGTTGGGATCTTAGATATGCTATTTAAGAAGTGAACCGTGGTGACGATAGACACGGTAAAGCTTTTGTAGGTTTTCAAGGGTTAAAGTGTGCACGTAAGAACGTTTTGAATGTAAAACAAATATGATTCATTGTGCCAAGTCTGAAGCCATAGCCTTCTTTGATGTTCCCAAACATCACAAAGAGTTTTTAGATGTTCTGACTTTAAATAAAATAAATAAAATAAATAAAATAAATAAAATAAATAAAATAAATAAAATAAATAAAATAAATTAAATAAAATAATATAAAACAACATTCGTAATGTTACAAACATTGAGCCTAAAGTTTTCCACCTCATTTCATGATATTAACACAACGAGACTGCAAAGGGGTAATGAACCGCAACACTGTAAAGTAAGTAAAGCCTTGGCCTAATTGTTACAGCTTCGCTAACCGTATCCCTCAACTTTTGTTCCATTGCTCCGAGCCGACAGCGAACCTGCCCTTCGCGTGGAGAATCGGAGTCGTCGTCTCCCACATCCGGAAGAGGGCGTTGCGGGCGATCGTGGCGAGCCCACAAAGCGATTCGGCCCCCCTATTTGCCTTTGCGGCGCGGCGCGGCGTGGCGTGGCGTGGCGTGGCGTGGCGGCGGTTGGGGGCGGCCGGGGCGGTAGGCGTGCGTATGAAGATATTTCACCGGCGGACGAGGCGTGACACGCGCCGACAGTGGCGCCGACGGCCGCTGCGCGTAAAGGTAATGGAGCCCCCAGGGACAAAGGCGGGCGGCGCGGCGGCTCTTTGTCGCTCGCGAAAGCGAAGGTTGGCGCGGCGGGGGCGGGACCCATTGCTGCGGTGGTCGCGGAGCCGCCGGCCAAGTGTCGGCCGCCAGCGCGCGCGCGCCTGCAGGGTTGGCCACGACTGCTGACTCGACCCTCGGAGCAAATTTCTACAGATTGAGCATTTGCCCCAAGTCGTAATGAAGGAAACAACTACGTACTTGAACACTGTCTTGAACGTAGAATCTAGTAGATTTCAATGAAATTGAAAATTACACACAATGGCGTGAATGCACACATGCATCGCAATATATATATATATATATATATATATATATATATATATATATATATATATATATATATATATATATATATATTGGGCTCAGTATATTGGGTATCAGTATCAACTTCAATATCAATGACAGTCTTATTTCCCGCGAAGGTTTTTCCGTCGTTTGACTAATTGTCTGTTCTTAGCGTGTGAATTATTCGAAAGAGACAAAAGCATGCATTGGAAGATTGATTTCTTTGGTGTTTCTGGGTGCGTCGACTGTTAATGCCATTAGTCCTGCCTAGTCCCGTAAATGTAGCGTATGCTTTCCTCGGCAAGTGGCGGTGATCGTATCCTGCTCGGTGGTCAGATCTGGTGCTAAACTACAAGTCGGCTAGCAAAGTTACAATTCCGAAATCGTTCGCCATTATTTAAATTAAATATTTTAATAATTTCTCCTCCTGGTTTCAAAATATACTGATAAAATAAATTTTGTTAGTTGTGTGGATGCAATGCATTTTAATGTAATATTAATGTATTTAATGGAATTTTGAAGTTAATAATTAATGAATACTTATCAATCAACTAGTTTTGGGCGTGAAAAAACTACCTTACTGTATTTGTTCTTTGACAAGACTAAAGTTTTAAATTATAAAAAACAATTTTAATAATCAGTGTATTTAGAAATGTAAGAAGTTATATTTTCAATAAGTGTTACAAATGCTACTTAGGTTTAAAAACACGCGTTGTTCATCGATTGTTGATGTACATACACCGTTTCAAGTGATAACACTGGGAAATTCAACGGAAGAGCATGATCTAATATTGCAGGAGCCATTTATCACATTATGTAACGCTGGAAAAAAAAGTGTTTTGAAGGAATACTTTACACACATAGGTAACATTAACAAAATGTCGAGAAATACTGTGAATATTTTTATAGTGAAATAATATTATTTCGTATCTAATTAAGCGTAGGATATTGATAACCCTTTCATAAAAAGTTGACTAATTGTGCGTCGATGATACCATTAGAATAAGCTGTCAATGAAAATGGTGCACATTCAATCTTTCAATTCAATTATTATTTTAAAAGCAATTTCATTAACGAAACGCTACCATGACATTAGATGTAAAATGAATTGGTGTTGAAAGTCGATCAACTTGACATTGAACAAACGAGATAACAGCTTGCGTTCTCAGAAGCGAATTAAAAACTTTGTCGCTTGTAAGCATGCGAAAATTGTCGCCTATGTTTGCAAATATCTATGAAAAAATCTACATATAATAAACATGAGTAATTTATGTTAAAATATTGGACACAAATATTGATGACTAAAATTAAAAGTAATGCAATTAATAATTTATGAGAGTTCAATTTTCTTATGGGAAGTCAATTACTTTTTAATTCATATATTTTGGTGTACAGAAATAACTTAAATTCATCAAGTTTTTTGTAGTTATGAATATTTATTATTCTATCGTAGTAATTTAGTTCTTAAAATCATATAGATGTCTACATTTAACACTAGAAAATACGAACGAAATAAGACATCTTGCAACAAATTACATTATCAAAATTACATGTTTTTAAATAAGTGTAATTTCTAAAATTTATAATATGAATAATTTATACCGATGTAACATGGAGACTCTTTTTCTGTAATTGTAATTGAATCTGAATTATATGACTTCTGATAAATGAAAACATCGCTCAATTTGACATATCATAAAGCAGAAGGTATTATCATCCTACTATTAAATAATTTTCGAGTTTCGATAATTTTGTCCAAAACTTTTATAATACAAATAAAAAAGAACAAATCACCCGCGGCGATGTAGAGGCTCTTTAGACACAATTTTAGTCCACAATTTTTGCTTCCCATAAAATTAGCCGTCGTAGACACGTATCTCCTGTACCCATTCTACCCATGATATGATAACAATGATTTTGTCAGTAAATATGCAATAATTTCCAAATCCGTTCTCTTTTTGTGACATTTATTACTTTTAAATTATCATTATTCCTATAAAATAAAACTATACGAATCATATATATTGAATGTATTTGAATACAATATATAAATCAGGACTGCTTTTATCACACTGCTTGAAGCACGCACCGAACTCAGAATATTTGCTCGATTTATGGGAAGTATTCATCGACAGAATATTTTATGTTAGAACATTAAGGGTAAAACAACTATTTTTATGCAACATACCATGAAACATTTGCTAAAAAAATTGAAAAGTTTTCATCTCAAAATGCGAAGGGAAATGGTGAGCCCAGTTATAATTTTGTTTCAACACTTTTTTCTATTCCATAACTTTAATTCACTGAACATTTTCAACGGCCAAAAATACAACTATGAACTGATCACATTATATTCAACTTGCAATATTTTGGAGGCGATGGAGGGCTGGAGTACTTAATGCGGTGACGGATGTTTAAACGATAGCACGATCAGTATTCATCTTTACTTAGAAGTGTCAAGCTTCACAAAGATAATGGCAACGTCACATTAGGAAAAGAAAACAGGGAAGAAATTACGCAAAGGAGCAATGGTGAACTACCGAGACAACCAAACGAGGCGCTAAGCGTCAACCGTAACAGTGAAATATGGCTGCGGCTGTTCCAGAAACCGAATGTATCCCTTTCTACAAAAATACATTACATGTTTAGGAATAAACTATGTATACAACCAATTGTAGGCATTTATTATATCTTATTGGAAAAATAGTTAAAACAATTTCACGATAATTGATTTTTTTAAAATT